GCCGCAGCAGTCCCCGGTGTGGAAAGGCTTGGTTAAAAGATCATTGATTGTTATAGGTGGAGGAAAATAAATTATATTCAAGTTTGGCAAAGATTTCACTATAATTGATGTCAATCCGCATGGGAATTATTTCATGTGTCTTTATGCTGAGATGAGCCCTTTGACTCCATTTACTTTGTCTACTTCAAGCCATAAGAATTAATTTACATTATTTTTATATCCAGGCTGTGCTGGCACGGGCAGAACTCATCTATGGGCTTGGGGAGGAGAAATGAGCCCTAAAAATGAACCCTGAACTGTGCATTTGCTGATCTTGCAACACAGAACATAACTCAGCTTTTTCCTCTAATGTTACATCACTTCAGCCAGCACTCATTTGTGCTTTACCATATGGGAGAATCACATAATGTACAGTGACAATTATTCTCAACAGCAACAGTTCAATGTATATTTTGATATAAGAAGATAGTGGTGTTTGTGCTGTGATACACAATCCATCAGGAACTACCTGCTGGGGGGTTTCTTGTTTATTAGCTCTTATATTGAAGACATAAAGGGTAATAACTTGGGTGTAGATCTTGGACCTGCAATTCCGACAGACCCAGTCCAGCTCCTGAGCTCACATTCCCCAAATCTTTAATAATTTCTATGTTATCCACGGTAATTAGAAGCCAGGGTCCAGGGTTTTCTGACATTAAGCTCAGAGCTGGTACTTTTACGAAAAATATAAATAACAGTAGTTAATATTTGTGAAACACTGTCAGAGTACAGCATCGAAATACCAAATTACTTGCTCAGCTGGTTATAGAACAGTTCCTTCTGAAACTCAAAACTACTGGAAGTTTCTGAACACCACAAAAAGTCATCTGCATTCCCACCTACACATTTCTTCCTCAGCTTTTTACCTCCCCTTTTTTCTTTATGCTAGTGTCACATCTCACTCCTTGTTTGGACAAGTCCTGGTGCTGTTTTGGGATAGATCCCATCTGGAACAAAGCTCTGCCCCTGTGTAAAACCTGTTCTGCAACGTCCTCTTTCTCAGGGAAACAAGTATTCCCTTGTGCTTGATGCAATCCCTGCTGGAGTGCTGGAGCCAGGAGAAGGGGAACAGAAGCAGCTTCCAGGGTGAGTTTTGTGAGGCCACTGGACACAGTGAGTGAGTCAGCACTGGTTATCTCTCAAAGTTAAATCTCACTTCTCAAAGTTAAATCTCACTTCCATGAGCTGATGCTCCCACGTCCCCACGTGTTAATTCTCACACTGCCAAAGACGTAAGGGAAATGAAAAACAAGCAAAGCCCTGTTCTCTTTGGTCTGGTCTGAATTAAAGTCAGATCCTGGTCTTAACCACCCAATTAAGCATTCCTGAGTAAATAACTGGCATTACCGTCAGCGCTGTTCCCACAACTTTGATTTCAAACTACTTCATGCATCAGTTTCTCATGGAGCAATCTGTGGCTGCTGGAGAGCAGAGGAGAGCTCAGGGGGGAGGAGGGTGAGAGCCAAGGTGGGAAATAAGAGCACAGACGTCACCCAGCCCTGCTGTGTGCGTGGGGCAGAAAGAGCTGCCTGAAAGGTCAGTGACAGCCCAATTAACAGTGACAGCCCAATTCACAGTGACAGCCCAGTTCACAGTGGGGAGCTGGGGTGCTGCAGTGCCAGGGGCTTCTACTGAAGGTACCACCCGACTCAGGACCATGTTCTGTGAGCACAGAGTCCTGGAGCAGCCTCTGGGATGAAATCAAATTGAAGCAGCCAGTGGTTTTGTCACACACACAGAGATTTAGGTGTTAAATCAGGCATGTCTATCACCCATGAGGTACAAATGGGGTTTCAAAGGGGCAGAGCACAACCTGGAACACTCCTGGCCAGTGGCTGCAGCATGTGTGCTGTCTTGAGGTGGAGTCAATGGGGGAAGTTTTAGTGGTACTAAAAGGTTTCATCCACAAACAGAAGCTGCCATTATCCCAAACAGCCCTGAAATCTACATCAGAAAATCAGGAATTAAAAACTGTGAGCTCTCTGTGGACCATGAGGTGTCAGAGGTAGAGTTCACACTGTATCCTTTGGCCACAGCTCCTTGTATTTTGTTTAAGCTTTAACTAGCACTGAAAACAACCCTCTCTTACTGCTGCACACCTTGGCTCAGAGCACCACACAGTGATTCATAGGGAGATCCATAGATTAGAAACCCAAACACACAAAAATCTATTCTCTTTAACAATATTGAGGATGTCTGGGTAGCAGGTCAAGCTCTGGATGTTGGCAGCTTTCAGTGTGACACTTCAGTGTCCCTGCATGCAGGGACAGAAGGACATTTGTCCCTCAGCAATGCAGTGTTTGCCAGGGAGTCTGAGCCTCTGGATGAGTTTTGCAGTGTAAAATCTGTCATTTGGCCACATGAAAGTGATAAAGAAACAGAGCAAGGAATTGATATGATCCAAAAAGAGCCTGAAAGGCAGGGCTTGAACTTCCTGCCGTGAGCCCAGCATGAGTCATGGGCCCAGAACCCCCGTGGACCCTGAGAGGTGCTGTGTGCTTGACGTCAGCTCTGTGGAACAGTCCCCAGCGCAGAACCAGTTTGCCATGGGCACATCCCAAACCATTTCCATATGTTACTTTGAAGAAGAAAATGACTGCTAAGACTCAGAACAGAGCAAGCAAGTGCCAAGAAAAAAAATGCCCTGAAGTGGCCAGATCTAAGAGATAGACCAGTGGGGGAATCCATCTCCATGTGCCAGACGTGCCTGCTGCAGCACAGCCCTTCAGAGTCCCAGCTGGAAGGCTCCCAGCACCCAAAGGGCAACACTGGGAACATTTCAGCTCCTGAGTCAGTGCTGATGAGCCCAGCGTGAGGGAGGCTGTGATCAGCTCAGCTCTGTCACACAGCTCTCCTGTGTTGGCTGAAGCACAGGCTCCACATTTTGAAAAAGCCAGGATACCCTGGTTAAACTCTGACATTGGTCATGGTGCTCTTCCTGCCACCCTGCCAGGCTCAACTTGAACTCAGCATTCTCTTTTCTAGCCTGGTGTGGTGGTTTGACCAGGAAGGAGTGGGAATTCTGAGCCTGCGCCAGGCTCAAACCATGACACCTGGGGAGTTCTGTCCTAGATCAGTGATTAACCTCCACCCCAAGAGCAGGCCAAGAAGTCTTTAGGCACCCTCCTGACAATATTTATTGGCAACTCCTTGCTCAGGTGTCTCTGCACTTCAAGGGCTCTCCCTCTCCTCAGCTCCAATGAGGACAGGCATTAATGCAGTGGGAAACAGTTCCAGGTAAGGGTTAGGCTGCCCCACTAGACCTGGGAGATAGAAAGCAGCACCTGAAGTGGGGCAAAAAAAGGTTCTTGCCTCCAGAGAGAAGGAAGGAGATGGGAGAGCTGCAGGTCTGTGCCTCCTGCAGTTTGGATGTCAGCAGGCTTTGCTCTGCATCATTAACTTTATACAACCTCTGGGCAGCTCAGCAGTTCATGAACTGCCCAAGCATCTGCAAATGTGATTCTTGACTTTGAGATCTCTCTGGCACAAACCAAATTAAAGAGCACTGAGCTAGTGTGCAGCTACTGCCCAGTTCTTTTCCGGGAATGCCTGGGAAATACTCCCAGTGTTTCTTTTGTAACAGAATGTAAATACCCCCATTGAAAAGAATGCTCAGTTCTTGTGCTTTTAACACAGTCTGGGAGAGCTCCCTCTCCCAGTATCATCTGGGACACAGTTCTCCTGCAAGATAAATGCACACATGAAAGCATTCAAAACA